CCTGCTCCTCTGATGCTGCTTGGCCTGCTGTGTTCATCTAGCTCTACACCTTGTTATCTCAGATTCTCCAGCATCTGCAGTTCCTACTATCTCTATTCAAATATAAGGCAAGTTTAAAGATTTCAAAACAACAGTTAAATACAATCCCAATTCATTTTTACACACACACACAATTTATTTTTAATTCACTTCTGCGATGTGCGTTTCACTGGGTGGCCAGCATTTATTAGCCATCCCTAGTTGCACTTGAGAAAGTGGTGATGAGCTGCCTTCTTGAACTGCTACAGTCCACCTGCTGTGGGTTGGTCCACAATATTGTTAGGGAGGGAATTCCAGGATTTTGACCTAGTCAATGTGAAGGAATGGCAATATATTTGCAAGTCAGAATGGTAAGTGGCTTGGAGGGTGAATTGCAGGTAGTGGTGTTCCCATGTATCTGCTGCCCTTGTCCTTCTAGATGGAAGTGGTTGTGGGTTTGGAAACAGCTGTCAGAGGATCTTTGGTTTATTTCTGCAATGCATTTTATACATAGCACACACTGCTGCCACTGAGTGTCAGTGGTGGAGGGAACGGATGTGGCTCCAATCAAGTGGGTTGCTTTGTCTGGATGGTGTCAAGCTTCCTGTGTGTTGTTGGACCTTCACCCACCCATGCAGGTGGGGAAGTGGGGAGTATTCCATCACACCTCTGACTTGTGCCTTGTAGATGATGGACAGGTTTTGGGGAGTCAGATGAGTTACTCACCACACAGTTTCTAGCCTCTGACCTACTCTTGTAGCCACTTTATTTATGTGGCGAGTCCAGTGAATTTTTGGTCAATGGTAACATCCCAGAATGTTGATAATGAGGTATTCAATTAAGGTAACAACATTGAATTTCAAGGGCAGTGGTCAGATTGTCTCTTATTGGGAATTGTCATTGCCTGACTTTTGTGTGGCATAAATATTACTTGCCACTTGTTAGCCCAAGCCTGGGTATTATCCAGATCTTGTTGCATTTGAACAATATGTGAGGAGTCACGAATAGTGCTGACATTGTGCAATCACCAACAAACCATCCCCACTTCTCACTTTATGATGGATGCAAGGTAATTTTTGAAGCAGTTGAAGGTAATTGGGCCTAGGACACTACCCTGAGGAACTCCTGCAGAAACATCCTGCAGCTGAGATGACTAAACTCCAAGAACCACGACAATCTTCCTACGTGCCAGGTTTGATTGCAACCAGCAGAGGGTTTGCCCCGTTACCCATTGATTCCAGTTTTGCTAGGGCTCCTTGTTGCCACACTTGATTGAATGCAGCCTCGATGTGAAGGGCTAACACTCTCACCTCACCTCTGGAATTCAGCTCTTTTGTCCCTGTTTGAACCAAGGCTGTAATGAGGTCAGGAGCTGAATGAACCTGGAAGAACCCAAACTGGGCATTACTGAGCAGGTGCTGCTTGATAGCACTGTTGAAGACACCTTCCAACATCTTACTAATAATCAAGAGTAGACTGATTGGGCAGAAAGTGACCGAGTTGGATTTGTCCAGCTTTTTATGTATAGGATATACCTAGGCAATTTTCCACATTGTCAGGTGAATGCCAGTGTTGTAACTGTACTGGAACACCTTGGCTAAGGGAATGGCAAGTTCTGGA